TAAGATCACATGCAGTTGACTTCTAAACTGGAAACAAAAACTGACTTATGCAAACTGGAAATAATAGGATTGACTTTTGAAGCAAACAGGTCAGGTTTAATATTTTGAATGACATACCATGCTGTTTTTAGTGTTTTCCTGTCATAACATTAGGAAGCTTTTTTCTTGTGTCCTTTTGTTCCTTCAGCAATCCCACAACAACATGAATGTAAGGAAGAGGAGGGTCTCCTCCAGCAGGTCTGCATCCCGGAGAGGAACTCCAGTCTTGATCAGAAAGACCCAGGGCATCCAGAGATTAAAGAGGAACCAGAGGAACTCTACACCAGTCAAGAGGGAGAGCACCTTATACTGAAAGAGGAGACTGATACCTTTATGGTTACGTCTACTTGTGAGGAAAGTGAACCAAACAGTGACCAGCTCCTTTCTCACAACTGTCCTGAACCAGAGAGCAGAGACGAGGAAGAAAGCAAGTATGTGGACTCAGGATCGACTAGATGTGCAGATCTGTTGAGACATCAAATAGACAGAAGTCATATTAGCAGAGTAAATGACTCTCAGGCTTTAGACAGCCAGTGTAAAACTGATACAAGTAGAAAGTCTGTAAAATGTGACACTTGTGGAAAAACCTTTCAGTGTAAATCCAACCTGACTAAACATCTGAGAACACACACAGGTGAAAAGCCACATTCATGTAGCATCTGTGGGAAAGGATTTAGTCAGATGGCAAACTTGAAAACACACATGAGAATTCACACGGGCGAGAAGCCACATTCTTGCAACACCTGTGGGAAGAGATTCAGTCACATGATAACTTTGAAAACTCACGTGCAAAATCACACAGGTGACAAGCCGCATTCTTGTAGCACCTGCGGGAAAAGATTCAGTCGTATGATACACTTGAAAACTCACATCAGAATTCATACAGGTGAGAGGCCGCATTCGTGTAGCACCTGTGGTAAAAGATTCAGTCAGAAATCAACACTGGAAACTCATGTAAGAATCCACACAGGTGAGAAGCCACATTCTTGTGCGATCTGTGGGAAAAGATTTAGTCAGATGGCAAACCTGAAACGACACATGGGAATTCATACTAGTTAAAGATTACAAATGAGTGAGAGCTGTCAGACATGGCAGTGTGCCGATGATAGAGCCCACACTGGTGACAAACCAAATCACTGCAACAACTAAGGGAAAATGTGACCTCATATTCAGGTTGAGACGTGCACAGAACTCTCAGAATTGTTTATTTGGCTTATTATTATGACGCATTGGAACCTTTTTTTATTGTACTTTTTAAAAAAAAAAATTGTGACGTGGTGACCAGAGAACAAAACAGTTTTTCCCCTGCATCTTTGGGTTGGCGAACGTTTCCTGGCTGATGTCTGTGCTTACATGCCGAATAGTATCCGAGAACTATTCAGCATGTACCTGGGCTACTTAGGGTCCCCAACACTCAACATAAGAAGTGAAGTAAAACCTGCAGGGGTGTGATTGAAGGGAATAGCCTGTCCAGTCTAAATCCAAGCAGTGCTTTGTCGGGCTTCTGTGATAGTCCTACTTTATTCATAATCAACACCATCTTCAAACAAGTGTGTCTATGAGTGCACATCGCACCTGAGCCATAGATTGCTGATCAATTTTGTAATCATATAGTCAGGTCTGCAGCTGTATGTTCTGAACTGTCAGGTTATGAGTTGTCAGTTGATCATTAGCTAGTGGTGAGTTGGAGGAAGTGGTGGGGAAGGATGCCAGAACGACCTTGCATACCCATACTGTAGATGTGCTGAAAGCATCTGGTAGAGGTTCCAGTTCACAAGATCTTCAACTCTGAGAGCTTTAACTGCATTCTGATGAGCTAGGGACATTGACTCTGAATGGACTGTTTCACGTGTTTTTCCGTCTCAGAGTAGAGCTCCTACTCCCCAAATATCAAAAGGAGATGTTTAAGGTGGTTTTTGCATATAACCAGAAAGTGTCCAGTGTGAAGTGTTCTGGGCACTGCAGGATGTGGCCCCAGGAGAAACAATGGAGAGATTATATCTCTCAGCTGGTTTGGGAACTCATTGGGGTCCCCTTATCACCTTGTTGTTGAATTGTGCTATACAAATAAATTTGCCTTGCCTTGCCTTAGGAAAAGCTGGGAGGAGATGGCTGGAAAACTCTGTACTCTGGGTATCTCTGCTTATACCTGCAGCTATACTAGGTGCTGTGGCCAATACCCAGAAAAGTGGAAGAAATGGATTACCTGTCCAACTGTCAAAAATTACAACTCTGGCTCCTTGAAAGTAAAATGTAAAGAAAAGAGGGGTGCTCAAGACATTTGCACAGTACTGGTAACTGGTTTTGTTTTACCTCTATTTTAATTTTCTACTGTATTTTTAATTTTTGATTTTTTTTATAATTTATCAATTTTGTTGTTCAGTACTTTGTGATTACATGTCTGTGAAAAGTGCTATGTAAATAAATTTACTGACTGTGGTTAATCAGCTAAGTTAATGAATGGATTTTTCTTCCTTTGCTTCATTTTTTAATCTGCTCAATTTCTTTTTATTTGTTTTAGTTTTACAGATTTGGGTGAAATTCGTTTTAGAGTTTTGACATTATATTATTAAAATCTGAGAGTGTTTGACAGAAACACTGATGGAAACTGTGGGAAACATTTCAGCATCATTAAACCAGTATGTCAGCTCTTGGGAGCAAAATTACAACAACAACATAGTAAGAAAAATAAAATGATTTCAATCATTTTTTTCTTTCAACTGCTCCCTTTAGGGGTCGCCAGAGTGACTCATCTTCCAATATATCACACAGTTTCTAGCATCCTCTTTAGTTATGCCAGCCCTCTTCATCTTTTTCTTCACTACATCCACAATGTATAACATCAGTAGTGTTTGTGGTAATCATTACAACACTTCATCATCTTCCCACAAAATTTGTATTCAGTTGACTTTAGTTTTCAAACGCCACAGACATGAGATGTTGGTTTTCTACGGTCTTAAACTGAGCTATCTTTTAAAATCTGAATTGTACAAAGCTTCTGAATATTTTAGGATTTTGATAAGTATAAGTTACTGAGTTGTATAAAACTGCCCCCACACATCCAGACTCACTAAAACGTTTGGCCTTTGAACAAAAAATCTGTATTTTTTTTATACTTTTCATCCTTTTTGATTGATTTCACTTTGCTTGTGTTTTACTTTCTATAAATGAAATCTGTCATCATTAGATGGGAGTCACAAACTGGTTCCCAACAGTTAAATTCCTTGGATTTGTTAATCTCCTTGCCTGTTGATTCTGCTCATCAGTTCCACTCACACTTGCTACAGTTTAAGATAAGATACCTTTATTAGTCCCACGAGTAGGAAATTTCATGTTAAGGCTGCCGACCTATTGCACGCAATGGCGGCGCCATCTTAACCTCTGACAATACATACATTACACAGAAACATCACATGGGGAAGACAGGTCAGAGAGGTATAACAATGGAAAATGCACCACATGAGGAAAGATAAGGAGAAAAAAAATAAGTCTCCCCAGACTGAGCTCCAACAGGGAGATCAGTTTGAGAACAGAAAAAACCCACCTCTGCACAGAGTGTACCAGATTAGGAAAATACGGTGCAGTCTGCAGAGTGGATATGGACATAACCTTTATTTTTATTGCACAAAAGGATGAGATGATACCAGAGGTATAATTCAAATGCTGCAGCACAAAACTCATCCTTAGCTGATGGCAATGGCACCTAGCATTGTCTTCTGCTGCTGCAGGGCATTTCCTTCAAAGAGGAACATGTTATATGTTCAGAGATGCTCTTCTGCTTGCCTTAGTTTGTAACAAGCGGCTACTTGAGTCATTGTTGCCTTCAAAAGTGCTCAAAGTACTCTGGCCATTCTCCTCTGACCTCTGACATCAACAAAAAATGTTCACCAAGAAAACTTCAGCTTGCTAGACTTTTTTTAGACCGTTCTCTGTAGATCTTAGATGTGGTTGTGATAGAAAATCCAATAGATCAGCAAGTGTCTGAAATACTCAGACTGGACCGTCTGACCACAGCACTTTCACAGGCACTTTGTAGGGTGAAACATTTCTATATTGATGGGACTGGACTGCAGCAGGATCATAGAATATTTCAGGAGTATGAAAATGGTGTGAGTCATGCGCTTTGGCCATCAAAGCCAGGCAGTCTCAACCAAGTTGAACATCTTTCATGATTCATGATTTCATCATTATCTTTTGAATGTCGTAAAATAAAGTGATCTTAACAATTTCATCAAAACTCTAAAAAAAACTTTTTTTTCCCCATTTCATTTGTTCTTTAGATTTTAAGAGACTTGCAGAATCAATACCGTGAAAGACTGAAGCTGTTCTGAGGGCACATGGTACACAAAAACCTCATGAAGAAGTTTTTTCCTTTAATTTGTCACCTGTCTGTATCTCACTGCTCCAGTTTTGATATCTTTGTGGATAACGGTGTCTGAGCCTGTTTGGTCAGAAAAGATTGTTCATGACATGATACTAAAATAATTTAATTAACTATGTGTATTTTTAAAAAAAATATTACATTTACGTCCAATAAAGGCATGGGCTCCATATTCTCACATGACACATGGTCTATTTCTGTCAAAAGTTACCTTTTATATAAATGGCACACAGGAATAGACAGAAAAAGCAGCGATGTCTGCACTGGGATGAAGGAAAAGAAGCTAAAATTATTTTAGCAGACTTAAACAAGTTTTGAAAAAAATGTGAAACAAGCTCTGTTATAAGAAGTGTTCAGCAAGTATTTCTCCTCTTCCTGAAATGAATCACACCGTTCATCTTCTTCCTGCTCTCTAACTCAAGACTTCCTTTCTGTCAACATGTTTCCGTGTTCTCCCCTTTCGATCTGCAGTTTGAAGATGAATGTGACAAACATGTGCTGACACTGGTGAATCAGAGCTCAGACTAGTGTCAGTCATAAGGAAGTGAAACTCGCAAAGTCGCTGACACTGAGAGGAGAAATGGCGCAGAAAGGAGTTCAGCTGACACAAGAAACTTTCTCTTGTTCGATCTGTTTGGATCTACTGAAGAATCCGGTGACTATTCCCTGTGGACACAGCTACTGCATGAACTGTATTGAAAGCTTCTGGGATGAAGAGGAAAAGAAGAAAATCTACAGCTGCCCTCAGTGCAGACAGACTTTCACAGCGAGGCCTGTCCTGGTGAAAAACACCATGTTAGCAGTTTTAGTGGAGCAGCTGAAGAAGACTGGACTCCAAGCTGCTCCTGCTGATCACTGCTATGCTGGACCTGAAGATGTGGCCTGTGATGTCTGCACTGGAAAAAAAATGAAAGCCTTCAAGTCCTGTTTATTCTGTCTGGCATCTTACTGTGAGAAACACCTTCAGCCTCATTATGATTCACCTACATTCAAGAAACACAAGCTGGTGGAGCCCTCCAAGAAGCTCCAGGAGAACATCTGCTCTCGTCATGATGAGGTGATGAAGATGTTCTGCCGTACTGATCAGCAGAGTATCTGTTATCTCTGCCCTGTGGATGAACATAAAGGCCACGACACAGTCTCAGCTGCAGCAGAAAGGACTGAGAGGCAGAGAGAGCTGGAGGTGAGTCGACAAAACATCCAGCAGAGAATCCAGGACAGAGAGAAAGATGTGAAGCTGCTTCAACAGGAGGTGGAGGCCATCAATCAGTCTGCTGATCAAACAGTGGAGCACAGTGAGAAGATCTTCACTGAGCTGATCCATCTCATCCAGAAAAGAAGCTCTGATGTGAAGCAGCAGATCAGATCCCAGCAGGAAACTGAAGTGAGTCGAGTCAAAGAGCTTCAGGAGAAGCTGGAGCAGGAGATCACTGAGCTGAAGAGGAAAGATGCTGAGCTGAAGCAGCTCTCACACACAGAGGATCACATCCAGTTTCTACACAACTACCCCTCACTGTCAGCACTCAGTGAGTCTACAGACTCATCCAGCATCAATATCCGTCCTCTGAGCTACTTTGAGGATGTGACAGCAGCTGTGTCAGAGGTCAGAGATAAACTACAGGACATTCTGAGAGAGGAACGGACAAACATCTCACTGACAGTCACTGAAGTGGATGTTTCACTGTCACAACCAGAGCCAAAGACCAGAGCTGGATTCTTAAAATATTCACGTAACATCACACTGGATCCAAACACAGCAAACACACAGCTGTTATTATCAGAGGGGAACAGAAAAGCAACATTTGTGAAATATCAGCAGTCTTATCCTGATCATCCAAACAGATTCAGATATTGTTATCAAGTCCTGGGTAGAGAACGTCTGACTGGACGTTGTTACTGGGAGGTGGAGAGGAAAGGGCGAGTTTATGTAGCAGTTGCATACAAGAACATTAGCAGAGCAGGGTGTGGAAAAGTGTGTGGATTTGGTCGTAATGACAAATCTTGGGCATTAGATTGTTCCAAAAACAGTTACACATTTTGGCATAAGAACATTGAAACTCCAGTTTCAGGTCATGGGTCCTCCAGAGTAGGAGTGTACCTGGATCACAGAGCAGGTATTTTGTCTTTCTATAAAGTCTCTGAAACCATGACTATGCTCCACAGAGTTCAGACCACATTCACTAAGCCGCTTTTTGCTGGACTTTGGTTTTACAATAATTATGGAGATATTGCTGAGTTCATCAAACTGAAATAGACTGAACTCGTTCATATTGTTGTGGGTTTAAATTGGAGTGGATTTTTCACTTGAGCTAGAATTTTTGGGATCGGCCCGAGTTTCGCCTTAATGTGTCATGCATTGTGTAGTATACATGGAGTAACGAGAAGCGAGTAACACCTCACAACCAGTTCCCGATCAGCAATCATATGGTCACAAGAAAGTCAAACCTTTTTGAAATCCTGGTCGCCCCTCATGAGAGTATCCACTGTTGAAGCAGTGCCACAAGCCAATTTAACGCAACCTCTCACACTGCGCGTGCCCAAACACAGAAGCGGAAAAGTCGGAGCAACATGGCAGTGCAGCGTGTGATCTAGACAAAGGCTATGGACGCCTAACTTGTAGAACTTTGGCAAGTTCATCTGAGGCTTTTCAATGTGTCCTCACAAAACTATCACGACCACAGCAACCGTGAAGAGTTAGATGGACTTTGCTGCTCAGTTATGTTTTCATTAGCAATTTAGAAAAGTTGATGGTGGTGTGTGTGCGTGTGCGTGTGTGTGTGCGTGTGCGTGTGTGTGTGCGTGTGTGTGTGTGTGCGTGTGCGCGTGTGTGTGCGTGCGTGTGCGTGTGCGTGTGCGTGTGCGTGTGCGTGTGTGTGTGTGCGTGTGTGTGCGTGTGTGTGCGTGTGTGTGTGTGTCAGCGAAGGAGAGCGAGAGACAGATTTTGTGTCATATATTAGCTAAATAATATAACCTTTGGTAACACAAAATGTTACCAAGCTAAAATTTGGACGCACACTGTGAGCACGCAGGTCGCATCGGGGCGTATAATGTGAGAACGATGACCTACGAACTTCTAACCCCTGCGATTCAGTGGTACAGTTTGAGCAGGAGCTGAATACTGCGACTGAAAAAAACACAGTGTATCCCCAGCTTTAGATGTTATAATCCTATACCTTTGATAATTGCAATCAATGATAACTTCATGCATTGTTTTTAATGTTTAGCATGTGAACAAAGTGAAGGCTTTTACTATAAATAACTTTTTGTTCAGTTTTTCTCCCGAAACACCTGAAATACTTTCAATTCAATTTAAATTCAATTCAATTTTATTTATATAGTACCAAATCACAACAAAGGTTGATTCAAGCCACTTAACCTCAAGGACTAACTGTAATATATAAACATAAAAATATAGAGCACACTCTTGTGTTGCAGTTGAAGTTCCTTTGAGAATTTCAGGTCCAAGGTGTTGGTTTTCTTTTTAACAACAGTTTAATGAGTAGCCCATATAAAGTCTTTGTGTATTCGGAGGTATTTAAAGCTGTCCACTGTTTCCACAGTTGAGTTATTCATGAGTACTGGCAGATGAATGCTCCTCCACGTTCATGTAATTCACAATAACCTCCTTTCTTTCTGAGATATTCAGGCATAAATGCTTGTTTTGGCAATAATTTTCCAGGGCTGTCTCATCAGCAAGTGAACTCAATCCTGTAAACCTCTCAGTTGTGTTATTAGCTCTTTTTTACCCCAAGCTGTCATGGGTGTAGAGTGAGTGTAGGAATGGGTTCAGAGCACAGCCCCTTGTCTGTTATTTGTACAGTACTTAGTGATTATATGTCTGTACAAAGCATTTTATAAATAAACATGCTGAGGTTTAATCAGCTGTGTCACCAGATGAATCAATAAAGGGATTGTCTCTTCATTTTTAAATCTGCTCATTTTATTTCTATTTGTTTTAATTTTACAGATATTGGTGAAATTCTGTCTAGATAATTATTTTCTGACATTTTGAGAGTTTGGGACATAAACACTGATGCAGTGTTTAGAGACAAGCAGGAAACCTCAGTCAAAGACTCCTGGTCAGGGTTTCTGACTGCACAACAAAGTATATGCCAATAAAAGACAACTAATGTCAGCTTGACAGTCATACATGTTATAAGAAACAACAAGCTATCACAAACAATAGATAATAGTTTACAACACACAAAGCTCAGCAGCACTAAATTAAAGTTATCAGAGCATATCAGACTGTAAATTCTGCCATCGGAGTATTTAATTGTCTGCCATAGCTGCAGAAGTGTTAAACACACATCTCTTGGCTTCCTGTAATGAGTCACTGCCCCATAAGGCCCCTCCCCCCCGGTCTCTGACTCAGCTCCTCTTGTCTGTCTGCATGTTCACTTGTTCCCTCCCCTTCTTATCTCCACTTGTAGATGGGTGTAAGCAACATGTGACAATCTGTAAGAGCTCACAGGCCACATTCACAGCAGCAACACATGTTGTTTAGATCAGAGCTCAGACTAGTTTCATTTTTAAGGAAGTGAAACTCACACAGTCGCTGACACTGAGAGGAGAAATGGCGCAGAAAAGTGTTCAGCTGGACCGAGAAACTTTCTCTTGTTCGATCTGTCTGGATCTACTGAAGGATCCGGTGACTATTCCCTGTGGACACAGCTACTGCATGAAGTGTATTAATGGCTTTTGGGATGGAGAGGAAAAGAAGAAAATCTACAGCTGCCCTCAGTGCAGACAGACTTTCACACCGAGGCCTGTCCTGGTGAAAAACACCATGTTAGCAGTTTTAGTGGAGGAGCTGAAGAAGACTGGACTCCAAGCTGCTCCTGCTGATCACTGCTATGCTGGACCTGAAGATGTGGCCTGTGATTTCTGCACTGGCATGAAGCTAAAAGCTGTGAAATCCTGTCTAGTGTGTTTGGTTTCTTACTGTGAGAAACACCTTCAGCCTCATTATGATGTGGCTCCATTAAAGAAACACAAGCTGGTGGAGCCCTCCAAGAAGCTCCAGGAGAACATCTGCTCTCGTCATGATGAGGTGATGAAGATGTTCTGCCGTACTGATCAGCAGAGTATCTGTTATCTCTGCCCTGTGGATGAACATAAAGGCCACGACACAGTCTCAGCTGCAGCAGAAAGGACTGAGAGGCAGAGAGAGCTGGAGGTGAGTCGACAAAACATCCAGCAGAGAATCCAGGACAGAGAGAAAGATGTGAAGCTGCTTCAACAGGAGGTGGAGGCCATCAATCAGTCTGCTGATCAAACAGTGGAGCACAGTGAGAAGATCTTCACTGAGCTGATCCATCTCATCCAGAAAAGAAGCTCTGATGTGAAGCAGCAGATCAGATCCCAGCAGGAAACTGAAGTGAGTCGAGTCAAAGAGCTTCAGGAGAAGCTGGAGCAGGAGATCACTGAGCTGAAGAGGAAAGATGCTGAGCTGAAGCAGCTCTCACACACAGAGGATCACATCCAGTTTCTACACAACTACCCCTCACTGTCAGCACTCAGTGAGTCTACAGACTCATCCAGCATCAATATCCGTCCTCTGAGCTACTTTGAGGATGTGACAGCAGCTGTGTCAGAGGTCAGAGATAAACTACAGGACATTCTGAGAGAGGAATGGACAAACATCTCACTGACAGTCACTGAAGTGGATGTTTTACTGTCACAACCAGAGCCAAAGACCAGAGCTGGATTCTTAAAATATTCAAAGGAAATTACACTGGATCCAAACACAGCAAACACACAGCTGTTATTATCAGAGGGGAACAGAAAAGTAACATTAATGAAACAACAACAGTCTTATTCTGATCATCCATACAGATTCACTTCTTATAAACAGGTCGTTAGTAGAGAGAGTCTAACTGAACGTTGTTACTGGGAAGTGTTGAGGAGAGGAAGAGGAGTTATTGTAGCAGTAGCATCTAAAAGTATCAGGACAGCACAGGATGAATGTTGGTTTGGGCACGATGACCAATCCTGGGCATTAGATTGTTGCAACAACAACAGTTATACATTTTGGCACAACAACATCCAAACTCCTGTCTCAGGTCCTCGTTCCTCCAGAGTAGGAGTGTACCTGGATCACAGAGCAGGTATTTTGTCTTTCTATAAAGTCTCTAAAACCATGACTCTCCTCCACAGAGTCCAGACCACATTCACTCAGCCGCTCTATGCTGGACTGAGTCTTTACTATAATTATGGAGATATTGCTGAGTTCGTCACACTGAAATAGACTAAAGTCTTTCATATTGTGGGTTTAAATCTGTATTTTAGTTTCATCATTGTTGTGACATTTTGGCTGTGCACAGAGATCAGCTGTAAATCAATCATTACCCCAACATCTTCTAGATGTTGAATGATGTTATTGAGTGTTTTATAACGAGATGTTCCTAAGTCTGTTTAGCCATGGAGGCTATGACTGCTCATGATCATTTTCATCTACAAAAACATTTCACTGCATAAAAAGAGCTGATCTCTAAATGAGTAGTGATCATCACTTTATACACTTGGAAAGAAATGTATAACTGGAAGACTAACTTTTCTGGGGGGGAAGTCATGACAAATGAGGTATTATGAAACTCTAGTTTTAAGGAGTAATCAAGATGAGATTGTCCATTGTTTTTAAAATTCACTACATGAAGAAATTTAATATTATTATAATTACAAATAAAACGTTGTTGAAAAAAACGTTTTTTTCTGTCTTCATTCCAGGGTCTCAGTCAAGTATGATAGGAAAAATGCTAAAATAATCTTGAGGGAATAACTGAAGAAATCTTCCTCCTAAAACCCCACAAAGTTCATGTTTAGACCAGAGGAAGATTCATCAGTCAATCTCATCCTTGTTGATTTTTAAAGCAATGTTTTTCTTTCAATCAGTATATGGAGAAGTTTTTTAATTTAGGTCATCATGGACAAAGTTATTAAAAATTTTAAAGCACTGAAGTGTTTTATTTCATATTTATAAACTGCAAACTTATCAGTTTTTCCCATGGTCTCTCAGTGCAGCATCAGCATTACTGGTTGTGACTCACAGCCTCTCCGTGCTAGATTTTTCTTCTCTTCAGTCAGATATGGACTGCTCTCTTAGCCTGCCGGTGTGAGATTTGTGAATCTCTGGGAGATGAATGATTTGCCCCCCTTTCATTTAACAAAAACACCTCCTTTGTCTTGAAGACATTTAGGCATAGATGGTTGTTTTGGCACTACTTTTCCAGGGTTGTCCCATCTCCTGTCATAGCTATTGGTGAAAATATACGGACATATGTACAAATGTGGATAAAAACAAATCCAAACAAAGAAACAAACCACAAAAAACCAACAAACAAAACTCTGATCACTGGTGTAAAACAACAGTTACACAGAAAAAATGATCCAAAGCAGACACCTGGTGGACAACGACAGACATGACAACAAGAAAACATTACAACATAAAGTGCCTTGACATAACTGTTGTTGTGATTTGGCGCCAAATCAATAAAAATGAATTGAATTATATAAAAGAATCAAGTTCTTGTAGAGAACTGGTTTCAAGTGGGTAAATTTGTGGAATTGATCTCATTTTGTGTGCTGCAGGAGGAAAATAGTGGCACAGTCTACAGCTTGGACATGGACATTACTTCTTTTTTTTTTTAAACAAAAGGATAAGCGTGAGATGGTAAAGTGTAAACTGTGTCCAGGACAGAAACAGCTGCATGATCCTGCTAACACAACTTCGCACAGACAACCTGCACAGATGGCATTTTAACACTAAGCTA